AGGAGGAGGAGGAGGAGGAGGAGGAGGAAGGAGGAGGAGGAGGAGGAGGGAGGAGGAGGAGGAAGGGGAGGAGAGGGGAGGGAGGAGGAGGGAGGAGAGGAGAGGGGGAGGAGGAGGAGGAGGACCCCCTCACCCTCCAACTTCTGTTGGTGGTGGTGGTGGTGGTGGTGGTGGTGGTGGTGGTGGTGGTGGTGGTGGTGGTGGTGGTGGTGGTGGTGGAAAACACACCAGGCGTTTTCGCACGGGGCTCGGGCCCCGGGAGCCTCGCGGAGCGATGCGGCTCGAGACATGGAGCAGAGAGATGGGGTCTATAGCGCTCCGGTTGGACACGCCAGGTCGGGGGGAAGGGGCGACGAGGGGCGGCGCGGAAGACGGAGTGAGTGGAGGAATGAGGCGAGGAGGAGGAGGGAGGAGGAAAGGAGGAGGAGGAGAGAGGAGGAGGAGGAGGAGGGAGGAGGAGGAGGAGGAGGAGGAGGAGGAGGAGGGAGGAGGAGGTAGGAGGAGGAGGAGGAGGAGGGAGGAGGAGGAGGAGGGGGGAGGAGGAGCAGGGAGGAGGAGGAGGAGGCGGAGGCGGAGGAGGAGGAGGAGGAGGAGGAGGAGGAGGAGGAGGAGGGGAGGAGGGAGGAGGAGGAGCGGAGGAGAGGAGGAGGAGGAGGAGGCGGAGAAGGCGGAGGAGGCGGAGGAGGAGGGAGGCGGGAGGAGGAGGGGGGGGAGGAGAAGGGGGAGGAGGAGCAGGAGAAGACGGGAGGAGGCGGGAGGAGGGGGAGCAGGGGGAGGAGGACGAGAGGGAGGAGGAGGACGAGGAGGAGGGAGGAGGAGGAGGAGGAGAGGAGGAGGAGGAGGAGGGGGAGCAGGAGGAGAAGAAACGAGGAGGAAGAGGGAGGGCGAGGAAGAGGGAACGAGTGCCCTCGAGGATCCAGGAGGTTCGCATGTGCTCCCAGGAGGTCTTCGGCGGCACTTGGGGAACTCCTGAGAGGCCTCGGACGCCTCGGGGGAGGGGGGAGGAGGGGGGGGGGAGGGGCGGGGAGGGGGGAGAAAGGAGGGACGAGGAGGGGGGAAGAAGGAGGGGCAAGGAGGGGGGAGGGGGGGAGGGAGGGACGAGGAGGGGGGCGGAGGGAGAGGCGAGGAGGGGGGAGGGAGGAGAAGGGGGCAGTGGCTCCCCCAGCCGGGCGCCCGGTCGCCTCGCCCTCCCTGCCTGCCAGCACACGTGCGCCCCGTCGTTTGGCGCAGCAGCCAGCTGCAGCAGCATCAGCAGCAGCCAATTGCAGCAGCAGCAGCATGAAGTCGGGCATGTCCCTCTACAGGCGGAATTGTCCGACTATGTCTATATTATTGTTGGACTAGTGTTGAGTTATTTTGTTTAAGCTATGCTGTATGCTTGTTCCAAGATCCGCCTGTAGGATGACATGCCCGACCTGACAGCAGCAGCAGCAGCAGCAGTAGCAGCAGCGGGCCAGATGGACCCGGGCCCTGCGTCCCGCGCGCAGGGCTTCCCGATGATGGGCGGCCTGAACGAGGCCGGGCTCTTCCTTCGGCTGCTGCTCGAGCTGCGACACCCCTCGACCTCCGCCTTCCACACCCTCCGGGCGTCAGTATCGTTTAACCGATCCTTATCCCCATCGCCATCCCCATCCCGAATCCCGACCCCCACCATCCCGCCGCCCCATTTGGGGAGATCCCCTTCCAGGGGGATGAATTGGCCAGTGGGGCCCAGGCCACGCCGGTGGGGATCGGGATCGATTACACGATGCTCAGGGCGGCGGATGTTGCGATTGTCTTATTGGAGAGGCCTGACGGCCGGTGCCGCCGACGCTGATCGAAAGGGCTAGGAGTGGGGGGAGGAAGCGGAGGAGGAGGAGGAGGAGGAGGAGGAGGAGGAGGAGGAAGAGAAGGAGGAGGAGGAGGAGGAGGAGGAGGAGGAGGAGGAGGAGGAGGAGGAGGAGGAGGAGGAGATTGTCTTATTCAGAGAAGCGTCTGCCCTTACGAATGTCGGCCTTTTTCAGCGGGACGAGCGCCTTCCGGGAGGGCTGCCGGCGCTCCGCGCGGAACCGCTGCGGATCCAGCCCGCCTCGGCCTCTGGTGCCGGGAGGGGGGGGCCGGGGGTCCTGCCGCCGCGCGGGATCTGGCGATGCCTGTCGGGGGGCCTGGCATCGCTCGGGCGTGTGCATTTTTCCTTGATCATTTGGCGAAGGAGCCACGCACGAAACCGACAAAAAAGAGCACAGGGAATGGGCGTCCGAGCGATGGCCAGGGGGGGGGGCCCGCTCCTCAAGTGGCAACGTCGCGACAGAAATCGCGACCAGAGCCTCGGATCCCCAGCTGTCGGCGCCCTTTTGCGAGCTGGACCGATCCGTGAGGGTCCCGGGGCCCGAAGCCTGGCGAGAATGCCCGGCTCGAAGAACATCGAGGCGCCAACCCAGGCTCCCGACGTGATTTTTGTCCGCGACGTGGCCTCCCAGCGCCTGGACCCCTTCCTGGGGACCGGTGGTTCTTCCTGAGTCGTTCTTTGATCGACTTCACGAATGAGTGACCCTTCGCCGGACTGACTTTGGTGCGGGCCCAGTGGGGTCCCCCTGGCCGCCGAGCGCGATGAGATAGAAGCGTCTTGCGCGCTTGGGTTTGGACCCCCCGCTGCTCCAAAACAGCCGCGCACCAAAAGTCACTCTTACCCAAGGTCACTCTTGCTCGTCGTCGATTTGACAGTCCCGAGGCCCAGCGAGAGCCCCTGGAGGCCGAAGATTGGGAAAGACCTCCCGTCGCTACTCTTTTTCACAGCGCGAGGGGGTCCAGGAAGATCTCAGGGGCGGACCGAGGAGCCTCTCGGACGGTCTCGAGCGCTCTGGGCGTTTCCGGCGGGGCGCGGGCGATGATTGGCCATTTTCCACCACCACCACCACCGCCACCACCATTAGTTGGAGGAGGTGGAGGATGAGGAGGAGGAAGAAGAGACGAAGGAGGAGGAGGAGGAGGAGGAGGAGGAGGAGGAGGATCCCCCTCCCCCTCCTACTTCTGGTGGCGGCGGTGAGGCCCGCTGCCTCGAGGTGCCGGCGGCTCCCCACAGCGTGGCGACCCCGTGCGTGTGTGGCACGGCTCTTGGGAGCTTTCGGCCTCCAACCGCCGAGCGCAGCCGCGGCGAAGGCCTCGGAGGAGGAGGAGGAGGCGGAAAAGGCGGAGAAGGAGGAGGCGGAGGCGGAGGCGGAGGAGGA